TAACACATGTATACAATGCTAACATAATTATTAACCAAAACTAGAGTGTCTAAGGTAAATTTCTCGAACAAAATAATCTTTCCTTAAGATTGTTTTCTGAAAAGGAACTGATACAGAGGTGAAACACACTGGCTTGGCTGAATCAGGCAGCATATTTCTAAAAGGAACTTCTTAATGTTGATAACTTCCACTGACTCTGGCATGAGTGATACACTAAACATTTCCACTTACCCGATTGTAAAGCTGTGTGTACATAGTCATAACAAAAATGAAAGCTGCATGGATACAACCCAGTGGGGCCAAAAGGAGAAACAGTGTGAATGAAGCATGATTTTGGTAACCACAACAGTTGTTGATCCAAGGACAGTGATGGTCCATCTTCATCACGCATCTAACAAGAAAAATTTACAGGAGACATGTATAACTGGTTTTCAGAGGATTGAGTAAATAGGAATCCAACACATCCAGGAGTCATAGGGGAACAATACTTCATGGAAAACAAAGATTCGTCTTTCTGAGCTTTTAAAATTGATAGCTGGGTAAGTTACTCCTTTTTAATTCTAGACAGTGCGAGAGGGAAGGGAGGCTCAGCAGGGAAGTCATTATAGAGAAATGAGCATAGGCCCTGGTTTTCTTCTAGACTGGGAATGCAGTCAGTGACTCAAGTTGAGTACAGTAGTGAATCCAGAAGAATCACTTTACAAATCTCCCCTGGGTCTCTCGGGGGTGAACAGATATTGTAACTTACTTCCTGTGCACATTATACTTCAGATGTGGAACCCTGAGCTCAGCAAGTTGACTGCAGCATATAAGGTACAATAAGAAGAGTCTTACTGTGTTTCTTGTCCTTTTCTTTGCTACAGGAACATTTCTTGGCTTGAAAACAAGTTTTATTTGTCTCCAATGGTTTCCTAAATTTCTCTTAATCAATGGATACAGTTGCTCATAAAAGATCTTGGCCTATTTCAAACTTTAAAAAAAATAGTGACTCTGATTTCTTCTCATTAAGTTCTTGTTATTAAAACACTGTGATAACAAGTGGATTCATTTTTATTAGATCTGTACAAAGTATAACTATTTGTCCATCAATAATGGGGAAAGTAGGTCCCCTTTATAATTCAGACTCAGAACTGTAAAACTAGTCAAGGTAACAGTCAACAAACACATTTAATTTTGAGAGTCTGTGGAAACTAGAAATGTAACTTTTTACCCTGTTCCTGTAGGGTGAGAGCAAAATACACCTATTTTTTCTAAAAAAAAAAAAAAAAAAAACCCAACTTTTTATTTATAACAAAGAAAGAACAAAATTTCTTATCTGGATTGATAAAATTTCAGCTAAAATTAAGACTGTAGACACAAACATTTTTGACAAAGTGGCCACTTGGCAGAGAATAAATTTATCCTGTTGTGGTAGAAAGTACAACAACAAAACATCAGCAATCAAGTTGTTCCAAGGAACAATAGAGACAGATACCTGTTGCACTTTCTGCAGTGATGTGATCGTGGTGCCTTGAATGCTTGGCAAACTTTACAATACTGGAGATACATGCTATCCTGAGAATTTTCCTTGCCAGCAAAATACAAATAAAAATACATTAGTGACTAGATCCCAAGTATTAAGAAATCAGACTTTATGAATAAATGCTTTCCTGTGGTAGGAATTTCTTTTAGATGCAAGAAAGATGCATTTCCAGTCCTTTCATTTGAGTAAGTTAAAAATAACAAAATTTATGGCAAAAGCAGCTCTACTCTCCACGTTACCCAGAGGTTATTTTTCATTTCTGTTCCCCAGAAATATTTTGTCATTAGTTGGCTCTGCTAGTCCTCAATCTCAATAGAATAGGAGTTTAGAAAGAGCTGACAGCTTGGCAGGTGTTTTAAGAGTGGAGATTTAAGCCTAAGTTGATACCTTTTCTCAAATCTGCCTTCTTCTTCTATTACCTTTGTCACCTCCTCTCCCTGGGGTCATTATAATAATTCTCCAGTTTCTCTACTTCAATTTCTCTTTCATCTAAACTGTCTGTTGTCCAAATACTGTGCTCACAAAAGAACTACCTCTGCTTGATTTCTAGAAGCCTCCTATGGTCTAACAATTTCTCATGGATTCACTTTACATGGACCTACCTTTGTTTCATTCTTATCTGTACTACATGATCTCTTTTCTAGTAGTACAAGGCTGCCATGTATCTGAATGTGTTCCTACTGTTGTCAACCTAAAACACCTTCTTTCCCAGTCTGTGCAAACTTTTACTTCTCCCACATGTCTCCAACTGAAAGTTCTAATATCAACAGCACTCAGTAGATTCTGTTACAGTTTAGTTTTCTTCATAAGTGCATGGTTCCTCTCCTGGCTTATAAGCCTTTTCTAAATAAGTTGATTCTCACTCTTCTCTGTACCATTTCAGAACTACACTGCTCAGAGAGTAACTGTGTTTCTCAAACTTTAATATACCTAAAATGTGACCTGAGGAGTATGTCAAAATAAAAGTTATGGGGTACAGACTACCAGTCTGTACTTCAAATAAGCTACCAAAGTCCCTCAGCAAGAAACAGAATCTAACAGGTTTTGAGAAGACATAAATTGATTCACACTGTATTTCTCATTGCTATATTTGCAACACATGGTTTTACATTTTTGCGATCTAAACCAACAGTTTTGACAATGTTTTTCCCAATTCTGAGAAATTTAATGTATTACATGAAAAGAAGATCCTACAGCCAGAATGCACTGTGGCTACATACTGGATTTTCTGAGCTTAACTCATCAACATGGACCTACCCCTCCACTCTATCCTCTGTTTTCTTCTTCTTCTTTTTTATATTGCTTGTGGGGTCTGAACTTAGGGCCTGGGAGCTATCCCTGAGCTTTTTTGCTTAAGGCTAGTGCTCTACCATTTTGAGCCACAGTTTCATTTCTGGTTTTTGGTGGTTAATTGAAGATAAGATTGATTCTCACAAACTTTCCTGGCCTGGGCTACCTTTGAACTGTAATCCTCAGATTTCAGCCTTCTAAATAGCCAAGATTACAAGTATGAGGAACCAGCGGCTGGTTTCCTTTCTTATTTTTAAACACAGAACAACTATTCAATGAATTTGCTTTAGATGGACATTTTCAAATAGATATAAATTCTTTGAGGATAAATGATCAATGATTACAACAATACACTCAGTTTCTACCAGGAAAAAGAACATGCTACATTCTTTGAGATTATTGGTTGGCAGATAAGGCAAAAACAAACAAACAAAATAAACCCCTAAATATACAATTATCATTAAAGTTCATTGCCAAAAGGAATCTTTTTCTTACCGGTTTCCACCCCAAAGGGACGAAGCCAGGACCAACAAACATGGCATTGAAGTAATTATAAAGAATCATGACAGTCCAGTTTATCAACATGATGAAATTCACACTTCCTCCAGTTGTATGTAAGGGCCAATACCACAATACAGAGTCAATCATGGCCATTATAGAACATATTGCTATAACACTGAGGGCTATGATGGGACCCCAGTGACAGAGTCTCTTTAATTCTTGGAGATTTTCAAACTTGATAACTGAGCAGAATGTACCCATTTTGGTACAGAATGCTTTTCTACTTCTAAATAATTATAGACTTCCTTTTTCTGTGTACACATGTCCATGTGTCACAAGTCCATGTTTGTTCCTGAAGTGTCATGCCTTCCAGCTGTGGGAGGTGAATGCAGATTGTGCCATTTTTTACTGTTTGTACTCTGAACTCAAAATCTTAGGTAGGAGAATCCACAATCCTGGGTTGAAACTCAGCCTAAAGAAAATAAAATGGGAAAGTTCAGTATGGGGGAAAAAAGAAAAAGAAGATACCATATACTGCATGTGTTAACTCCAAAAAGCAACTCACTAATATGCACACAAATGCACAATGGGATACATAGCTTAGCAAATGTCAAAAACAAATGTCAAAAAACGAGTTACCACATTCTATAAGAGTTTTATCCTGGCTTAAGAGGATAAAGAATTTTAGAGCACGGAAGTAGAGCCTTAAGGGTTGATCTCTAGAAGCTTCCTTTTTGTAAAGACAAAGATTGGCTTAGAGAGCTAAGTGATTAGGCCAAGGTCACAAGTATGGAACGGCTAAGTCCGGAAGAGAAACCAAGTTGGAGAACTCTTTTTAGGAAGTTCTAAAGTGCCCCTTAGAGATTTTCAAGTCTGAACCTGACATCTGAGCTATTTGCTTGCAGCTGACCCCAAATGCCAACCACAACAGTTTACCCCTGAAAGCAAAGGAGGAGCCGAGAGTGAAAGCTGAAAGACAGGGTGTGTGTATGAGTGTGTATATGTGTGTGAAATGATGACCGCAATAGTGAGAATATGGACACCAGCATAAAAGAGAAGATTTGAGGAAATAAGTCACTGCCACCAAGGATTTGGGAGGCAGGGCGGAGGACGGCGAGAGCAAGATTTACGTAAGGATATTTCTCACTGGACTGGCGTGAGTCAGAGGAACTTCTTCCTGAGGTATAACGGGCACAGATTCTGAGCTAGGTAGGCAGCAGATTCCCACGCAGCTAATGCCGCTGCAGTGTGCCTCGGTTTCCCCTGCCATGTCACGGAGCGGAGCGCTTAGAAATCCTCACGCAGGGAAGAAACGCGCTAGCACACGAGGTGGGTCTCGACATGGTGGAGACTCTGGTTCCAGTAGGGTGAGACGAAAGCCGCTAAGATCGTAGCTACGCCCCTGCCTCGATTTCCCACCTCAGTCCAGTCCTCAGTGCCCGCTCCTCGGCCATCGCATTTCTGGGACCGCCTGGGTTCACCCGGATCAGTGTTTCTCCTCCTTGGATAACCCCATCATAAGCACCACAAGCCAGAAATGAAGTCCTGGTACCGGAGCGGGGGGAGTGGAACGCAGGACCGCCCGGAGCAGGGCGTCTCTCCACCCCCGTCCCCGCCGCCACTCTCCCGCTCAATCCCACTGCGCACGCGCCTCCTCAGCCACTTCCGGGAGGCGTTTGGCCTCAAGCTTCCCCCGGGGAAGCAGGCTCCGGTGACGTGTAGTTTGGGGAGCCCAAACCATTTTCTGGATCGTAGTAGGGACAAAAATGATGTCAATGATCCCTGGGAACACCATTATTTTTGCAGGCGTCTGAAAGGCACGAATGGTGACGCCTTTCTGTGACGAATTTCTGATTCGTGCAGACTGAGCGGAAAGGAGAAGCGCAGGCAGACGGAGTTCCGGAGGACAGAGATTGCGAAGCACAACCAGGAAGCAGCTGGGCTGGGAGCTGTCCCCGGTTCTCCGCTCGACTTAACCCGGCGCCTTTTCAGGGTCCCTACGCCGCGGAGCCCTGCTCTGCGCGCCCCTCGACCTGACCTAGGCTCCGGCCCGGGTCCTTCACTCCGGAGCCGCCATGTCTTCCGACTTCGAAGGCTACGAGCAGGACTTCGCAGTGCTCACGGCTGAAATCACCAGCAAGATTTCCAGGGTCCCCCGACTCCCACCTGGTGAGAACCCCGGCCGGGCAGGGCCCGGGAGAGCTGGCGTCCGGGGAGACGGGGCGGCCGGCGGCGGCGGAATCCGCGGGCCAGTCACCCGGCCGCCGGAAGCTGCGGCCGGCCGCGCCGGCCGTCCCCGGGAGAGAAGAGGTTCCAAGATGGATTGTGGGGTGCACGTGCAGGGACCTTGGGAATCTGGGTTCGAATTCCGACTCCAGCTCAGCGCAGTCTGCGTGATCTTTGAGACGTTTTCTCTACGTCTTAATGTTCTTTTTTCGGTTGTAAACTATAGAGATGAGAGGGTTCGGAGAAAATGAATGAAAGTACCAAGGTGATGCATCTGCAATGTGGAGCTGCGTTGTGATATTATTATTATTATTTTTTCTTTGCTGCAAAGTAGAGTGGAAGGATGGAATGACTGAATTCAAATCCCAACTCTGATACTTAGAAGTTGTTTGAACTTTAATTCGTGGCAAAATGGGGGAGAAATGTACCTCTCTCACAGGCTCTTGTGAAGATTAATTGATACAGCCTTTTCGCGTGTATTAGCTGCTAATTAGGAATAAGTATTTTTTGTGTTTCTCATCTTTCTTGGGGGCTTAAAACATAATTTTATGTCAGACTTGGTACAGAATAATTTTGCTTACACACTTTTCATCTGGAACTGTTCCTTTTTAGTTTTGTGTTTCATCATGTGATAGTTTCTGTGCTGGATTGTGAACACAAAGCGAGAGCCATGTCGGATTTTCTTGGCATTAATAAGGGCTTAGAAAATAATCTTTAAATGAGTGGGAAGATGACTGTATAACATATTTGTGACTTGTGTTGTAATGCTGTTTTAGAATTTGCTTTTCTTCCAGTATAGATTTGAGTAGTTACTTTCAGCTGGGAGCATTACTTTTTTGTTTAATTTTGTTAGGGACATTTTGTTAGGGACTCAGCTGTTGGACTTGACCTTACTGTAGCTCTGGGATAGGAATTGAAGACGAGAGGGTGTTCTGCAGACTGTGAGCAACTTCACTTTCCCCTCTAGTCAGTCAAGCTCTTGATGCCAGCACAAATGTCTTTGGGCCTAACTTGTTATTCATCTTTCCCTGTTTCCCCCGAAACAGAGTTTATAAATAATTTTCTTTTATTTCCTTGTTTTTCCTCCTCCCCCCCCCCCACCTATTTTCTGTTAATAGGGATATTTGCTTGAAGCCAGGATCTCTGAACTTACACCCCACTCATCTCTTGACGTCTCAGTTAGTTCTGGAGAAGGTGGATGTCTTAAAGAGGGTTTTGAATCCAAGTAAGGGAACAAGAGGAGAGATCCAGGGTAGTAAACACCACCAAGCTCTGCTGCCTCGGAGATTTTTTGGGAGAAAGTGTCTGATGACCTCATCACTTCATGACACATCACCTCGTCTCTTCTCTTCAGTTCTACTTTTCTCCACTTCCCAAGATCATCTTGATTTTGCTGTCATTGTGATCAGAGACTACTTCCTTTGAATTGAGACCCACAGCCTCAGAATATCAGGATTTGTGTTGCAGTTGGATTTTTGCTCATATAAAATTGTAATGGTTTTAGCAGTAGAGATAATTTTGCTAATAGTATTAATGTTGGGAAACTTTTACAAAGTGTCAGTCATTCCATCAGTACAAGCTGTAGAAACTGTTTCCAAGAAAAGATACTTTTATTACAATTGATTTTTCTTCCCTTTATATTTTAATGTAACAATTTTTAGCATATAGAAGGAAACATTTGAATTATGCACGTTAAAAATAAAGTCAAGCCTCTTGGAACTGTAGTATAATGTGAGTCCCAAACACAGCAGTTATATTTGAAAGGAGACTGTATTGTTGGTTTTGGACAGGCACTTACTTGAATAATAACTCTTAAAATACAGTGTTTTATCTGTTATGACTTGTGTTTGCTCTCTTCTAATTGATGGAAAAAGATGAAATGTTCAATGTAGTTATAAATTCAGATGTATTCCTGTGGATTAACTATATGTAAAACCATGTCAAAAACAATATGATTAAAAGTATTTATGATATCTCTTTCTGGGCATCATTAGTGGTTTTGGTGCTCAGCAAAAAAATGGACCTATTGGAGGCGAACTATCACTTACTTGAGTTAAGAGGGTTAAGAAAAGAGAACATACTTTCAGGCCAAAGCAGTTCATTTCTTAACATATTAAAATTGAAGTAGAGTGTGTAGGCTATATTGAATTTTAGTCCCTGGTATGCATGTATAATGTCTTCTGCTACTTCCAAGGAGAATAGATAGATTAATACTTTTAAACTTTTAGGGAAGAAATTTTATTACTCTACAATTCTTTTTAACAATAAAAAAATCTTTGCTCTTAGACTTAAGTGTTTGGACCTTAACTAATTTTTTGTAATTGTACTTTTGTGATGGGTGGATCCCTTAATACTCTTATGGTACTATATTTAAAAGGTGACTTTTAATGATTACTGTCCTTTGGGAAAGTTAAGTTAGTGAGCAGAAACCACAACTAATACTTTACTGTGACACTGCAGTGAATCCCTAAATGAGAAATACTGTATTCAAGCAGTTTCTGTACATAGAACAGGCTTCTTAAAGGATCTTAGAGTTTTGTAATTTCTTTCCTTATTACTTACAGAGACGTAGATGGTCTGTTGTGAATCCTGTCATTTTGTGATAGTAGTCAGAAATGAACAAGGTGTTATGGCAAAGTTGTTAATTAAGATTCCCACTGCTTGATATCAGAACTGTTTTAAGAGTCCAATTAGTAGATTTGGCTGGCCGCTCTAAAGACTGGCTCTCCCATCTATAGAATGAGAGGAAAAGGTAATAAAACATGTAACACACTAGCTCAGTTCTTACACAGAGAAAGTGTGAGGCAAACTAGCCCTTGTAATATAACTACTGCAGCGGTAGTAGTGAGTTGTTCAGAACTCAGTCAGACTTTGTTGACTTAATTGTACTCTTTTTTTTTTTTTGGTCGGTTGTGGGGCTTGGGCACTATCCGTCAGCTCTTCAGCTCAAGGCGAGCACTCTACTGCTTGAGGCACAACGCCACTTCCGGTTTTCTAGTGGTTTATTGGAGTTAAGAGTCTCACAGAGTTTCCTGCCCGAGCTGGCTTTGAACTGTGATCCTCAATTCTCAGCCTCCTGAGTAGCTGGGATGACAGACCTGAAACACCAGCGCCGGGTTTAATTGTACTCTTGAAAGAACCTTGGACCTCAGTTCCTGCTTCCTTTTACCCAATAGGGTGGGTATAAGTTCTCTTGATGAAGACCTATTATTTGAAGAAAAGTGAAGGATCAGGTGTGTTTGGACATGAAATTGGAATTAGGCCTTGAATTCAGGCCATCAGTAAGGGAATCAAGGGAGAGAATTGGATGTGGGGTGAAGATAGGTATCTTCTAGAAGGAAAGGCTCATTTGTAATGGATTTAGCTAATCAAAGCCTGAAAGATTTAGGTGACCATCTAAATAGTTGTGTATGAATGAAGCTATAACATTGCTGTATGATTACCTCTTTCTTTTCCAAGGTGTATATAGGAATAGAAGTCTACTTTAATTTATGAATATAGTAGACTTGGCATCTGCAGGTATGTGATTCTAAGGAGATGCCATTGAGGCATTCAGTTCATGCTCAAGATGCAGTGTTCATTACTGTACTGTGGATGCTTGATTCATTTTTTCCATAATAACTTTAGGCATGGCACATTTCAACAATCCTAAAAATTTCACTTTGTTACTTAAGCACATTAACTTACTTTGGGGGCACCATATGCCTTTTGCATATTTTCACAAAGTAAGGTCAAAGAAAAGCAGATTACATAATGATTTAACACGGCGGATGATAACACAGGACTAGAAGCTTTTCTGCATCAACTGAGCTCTGTGTGTGTGTGTGTGTGTGTGTATGTGTGTATTTAAAAAGTTTTGTTTCTGATTTGCCTCAGTCTTGCTGGTAAGTTTACCTTTTCTCTGTGAGTAGCAGCTGTGTCCCTCACTCCTGACCCCTCTGATTAACTTAGATTCAATTCTGTGGCATTCAAACAACCCCAAGCTTAATACAGGTTTGAAGGAGAGAGAGAGAGAGAGACACAGAGAGAGAGAGGAAAGAGAAGAAAGAAGAGAGATTTAAGTAGTAATGAATAGGGTTTAAAGGTGTGGCTCAGTTTGTAGAGTGATAGTCAGTGAGTGAAAGTGGCAAGTACTGAGTTCAAGTTTCAGTCTCAAAAAGAAAAAGTAATGAATAGGCAGACAGTGTGATTAGTATGTAGATTGCATATTGGAAAATTTACACTTGTAAATAATGTTGGCAAGGTGCTTGCATCTGAATTGTGGCTGGCCTTGAATGCCAGGTGCAAGAGTTCCAATTAAAGCAACATTTAAGGAGACTAAGTAAAAGAAGAGGAAGCAGGACTTGGAGTAGGAAAACCAGGGTTGCTAGCCCAGCACCAGTGGCTCACGCCTATAATCCTAGCTACTGAGGAGGCTGAGATATGGGGATCTCGGTTCAAAGCCAGCCCGGGCATGAAAGTCCGTGAGACTCTTATCTCCAAAAAACCATTAGAAAACCGGAAGTGGTACTGTGGTTCAAGTGGTAGAGTGCTCGCCTTGAGCTGAAGAGCTGAGGGACAGCGCCCAAGCCCCAGAGTTCAGGCCCCACGACCGACCAAAAAAAAAAAAAAAAAGAAAACCAGGGTCGATGGTGACCCAGCTTCATTTGTAAATCCTTGCACTATCTGTATTATTTATTCCATTCATCATTTTTTGAGAACTAATTATATATGTCAGGTTTATTGCTAGATTTTAGGCTAGAAAGACGATTAAGTTTCTAACTTAGAACCCCCAAAGTGAAAGGTTAATCAGATCTGCTAGTTTGTGAGATAAATCATTGAGATTCTCTAAAGATTATAGATATTCTATCTTCAAGAAAAATTCTTTTGTTGGACTAGGAAAGGCTTCAGAGAGGTAGTGATTTCTCTAGTTTTACTAGATGGCCCCGGAGGCTTGGTGTAAGCATTGGCACTGAGGGTTAGGAGGCCTGGATGAATATCGAAATCAGAGATACAGCTTGAGGAGCTTAAATACCTCATATAGATTTTTAAGTGGATGAAATTCCCAGGGACACAGAGGAGAGTCCCAAGAGAAGGGAAGCAAGGACTGTCCCTGAGGGACCCAACAGTTAAAAAATGGGCTATAAAAAGAAGAAGCACAGCTGGAGACACCGAAGCCGAAGGGAGCAAGGTCAGGTATCCTGAAGCTAAGAGAGGAGAGTTACAAGATGAGAGGAGCAGCAGAGTGTCACAGCCACAATATTGAATACAAACAGGACCCAAGAATGTCAATTAGCTGTGCAGAGGGAAGTTATTTGTAACCCAGCTAGAGGCATTTGAGTGGAATGGGGAGACGGGAGTGAGATGACAGGGAGAGTTTGGGGAGGAGAGGGAGGAAATGCTCTGCCCTGGCTTCTCCAGGACTGGCTGTGGGCGAGGAAGGGTTAGCAGCAAGGAGGATAGTTAACAGGTCAGGGGAGGCTTTTTACATTCTCTTTTGTTAATGAGCAAAGCCTCTGTTTTAGTCCTAGATGTGTGATGTCAACTTTCCCAACAACTGAGTAGGTTAAAGAAAATGTGTTCCTTCTAATATGCAAATACAGTTTCACTCTTGATTCAAGATAGGCTTGTCTTACTTTGTCTTCTTTTCTATGACAAAAAGTGCTAGTCGAATTAACTGTGCAGAAAATTAGAGGGATTGAAATGTGTTGGAATAAATTTGGAGTCATACATTAAGTTTTTTCTTTTTGGTCATATGGAGGTTTACCCCCTTTTTTCACAGAGTTAAATCAAGCTGAATTCTTGTGTAATTTTCTTAGGAAGAAACTCAGAGCAAACACCTTATATAAATCTAATTCTATTAAAATCACAACTTGTACTAAAGGTGTTCCATCTGAAGCACTAGTCAGCCAGTGAGTCTTGTGTATACTTCAAGTTTCATGACTGTTCTAGTCGGTTTTATAGTCAGTGTCTTGAGGTTCTGACATAAATCTTAATTTTATTTTTAAGTAAGAAAGAAGCTTGTCTGTCAGCACAAGAAACCAAACTAGGGTATAAAATCAGGTAAAAACCAGTTGTTCAGAACTTGGAACTAACTATAGCTATCTCCCAATCTCTCAGCTTTACTTCTTTCGAAATGTTGCCTTCCTTTTTAACCATTGTAAACTCTTTCGGGAGCAAAACCAATGGATGCCTACAGCTTCTAGGCCTGTGTTCTCAATACTAAAACTTTCCTGTTGCTCTAGAAATCTGATTTCTTGGAGATATGCTTACCTTGCTCCCAGTTCACTTTTTTTGGGGGAGGGGGTGGCCGTGGGGCTTGAACTCTGGGCCTGGGCGCTGTCCCTCAGCTCTTCAGCTCAAGGCTAGCGCTCTACCAATTGAACCACAGAGCTACTTCCAGTTTTCTGATGGTTTATTGGAGATAAGAGTTTCACAGACTTTCCTACCTGGGCTGGCTTTGAACCGCGATCCTCAGATCTCAGTCTCCTGAGCAGCTAGGATTACAGGCATGAGCCACCAGCACCCACCTTTCCCAGTTCATTTTTGACCAGAGAGGTTGAGCTACTAAGATTAGCCCAGCTAGGATATCTGTCATTTGCCAAGTCACAATGACCAAAATGGCACCTGCTAGGTGAAGATGAAGTCTCAGAAGACTGGAGGCTATTACCTGAGAAGAGAAGGGTGGAAGGGAGAAAACTGTACCTATTCAATAAGCTTGACTACCACAAAACTTGGTGAAGCCTTCATGATGGGTCTATTATTGATTTACAATGAAATCATGGAAAGGTTTTCTGACATCATGTTTCTCCTACAGAAGAGAACTTCAGTTGGATTATAACCTTATTGTAACAGATTTTCATTAAACCAAATACATGTCATAATTTAAAAGTAATTTTATTTGTACCAACCTGTTATGCTAAAATTATCTAGTGGATAATTCTTTTATTTTCATTTTTAGAGTAGAAGCTGAGCCTTAGAACAAACAAAACAAAATTAATTTTTTAAAATAATTTTCGGTCCAAGATTCCCTAAGCAGTGATAGTAGCTTTGGATTTAGAATTCATATTTTAAATATTTCTTCCAGTATAATACTTCTGAATGTTACTGAAAGCACAATATTTAAAGGACTGTAAGAATTTGCTTGGTTTTAGAAGTCTTTTTATAGGTGGCTTCTGAATTATATTTTTAAATCATTTCTTCCTGACGTATTAGACTTAGGACTTTGCACATCCCCTAGACTACCACTGGGGTTGATATAGTCTCTCCTTTGGAGCAATGTAATTTTCAGTCTCTTAAAAATGTCTGGCCTCCTTAGCAATTAGCATTCCCTAGCAAGGGTGGCAAGAGAGATGGCTCCAAACCTACCTAAGAGTGATATGCTCATTTCCCTTACATTCTCTCATCTGGTCAGAAACAGTATATAAAATAGAAGATTTAAAATATTAAATTTATCTGTATCCTCAGTGATTCCTTGATATTTTGTTTGTTGCAGATGAGAAGAAACACATGGTTGCAAATGTGGAGAAGCAGCTTGAAGAGGCAAAAGAGCTGGTATGTGGAGACTTAGGAAGGATTTGAACACATAGCCCCCAAGATACACCTTCTTCTAGCCTGTGCATTTGAAAATGTGGAGTGTTACTGATGAATGTTTTCAACTCAGAATTCATCAGCTTCTACTCAAAGGGGGTTTAATAGGTTCTTGAGATTTTATTTTCTTGAGGTGATTAAATAAAGAAAATGTCAACCTCTGTGTGTGTATATATGTATGTATGTATGTATGTATGTGTGTGTGTGTTTTAAGATAAGCTGGCCATGTGATCCTTATGTCTCAGCTTCCTGTGTGCTGATTCGCTGTGTCACCATGCCCAGCTTCTAACCTCTAATTTTTGTTTTTTGTTTTTTTTGGTCCAGTCGTGGGGCCTGAACTCTGGGCCTGGGCACTGTCCCTCAGCTCTTAAGCTCAAGGCTAGCTCTCTACCACTTGAGCCATAGCGCCACTTCTGGCTTTTTTCTTTTTGCTTATGTGGTGCTGAGGAATTGAACCCAGGTCCTCATGCATGCAAGGCAAGCACTCCACCACTGAGCCACCTTCCCAGCCCTAACCTCTAATTTTTAAAGTACTCCTAAGAACTGCAAATAGCTAGAGTTTGATAAAGGCACACCAGATTCTAGAAAATGTATTATTTACTTTATAATAATTAGCTTTCTCAAAATGTCTTTGAGACAGATACTGTTAGACAAAAACTGTGGAGGGTCTGCAAGCAGATTGAACTTGCTTGGTTAATGGATGCTCATGGAAGACATGATACTTCCAAGTGAGAAACAGAAGGCTTGTTATGTACAGAAGTAAAAACAGCTAGGAAAGTTTCTGCCTGGTTGTCAGTTCCCTGACCCTGGTTCCCACAGAGTGATGCTTGTGTGTGCTTATCAAGCAGTGACCTGCTTTAAGAATAGGAACATAGAGTCTAGAAGCCAGCCACTCTGTAGCAAGGTTGTTCTTTGGCCCAGAAGGACGCGTTTTCTCCTTCAATGTTGCTCCCTGTGAAGAGATCATTCAACAGTGGCATGGTCAGGATGAACCTTGCATCCTTGGCCTACCCAGCAAGTGATGCCCACAGTTTTGCTACTACAATCATTGTTGATGGGTTCTGATGCTTAGAAACGTAAAGTAACTTTCCTGAGATAGCACACCCTGCTAGGTGGAACAGTAAGACTTTGTACCTAGATATACTAAATTCAGAGCTCTAGCCCATACATTACTTTATATATATATATAATAATACATTCCTAGACAGGTGCTAGCAGGTCATGCCTGTAATTCTAACTACTCAGATGGCTGAGATCTGGAGGTCAAGTTTAAAGCCAGTCTGGGCAGGGAAGTCCATGAGAATGTTTTTATCTCCATTTAACCAGAAATGAGTCAGAAGTAGAGCTGTGACTTAAATTCAAATTGTAGAGTGCTAGCCTTGGGTGAAAAAGCTGGGACAGTGCCAAGTCCTGAGTTCACACACACACACACACACACACACACACACACACACACACACACACACACACCTAATCAGGAAGAAAAATGGGTAAAATACTGTACCTTAATATTTTGTTTGAAAGCCAAGTATGTATTATAAGTATGATTCAATTTTCTGCTATGAGTATAGTCCCACTGAAAGCACTGCTTTTCTAAATATGAAAGGGTGCTATTTAGTCTTCCTTCAGTATTTCTGGTTGATTGGCTTAGGACAGTTTCCTAAAATGTTTCTCTTAACTGGTCTGACTTGTTCAAAAAATTTGGAAAACTAACTTAAGCAGAGCTGGATGTGCAGGTCTCTATGGATGTTGTTTTTCTGGAGAACCTTCCGGACCCTTAGATAGGCTCTAAGAAATTGTGAGTCTCTCTAAAAAGGACCTCTAGAAGGTGGCTAGAACTGGAATATTTCCCAAGTTTGTCTGAGTTTGTTATTAACAGGCTTATTTGGATTTGCTAACAGGACCACATATGAGAGGCTAGCCTTGAGGGTATTAAGAAGGAGGAAGTTGTTCCCTTCCCCCCCCCCCCAGCCTAGAAGACAATGCTTCAGTGTCTTCGATCACTGAGATACTGGCACTGGTTCTTTTCTAGGTATCAAAACTGATGTAGGGGGCTTGTAAGGTGGCTCAGTGGTAGAGTGCTTGCCTTGCATGCATGAGGCCCTGGGTTTAATTCCTCAGTACCACATAGGCAGAAAAAGCTGAAAGTGGCACTATGGCTCAAAGTGGTAGAATGCTAGCCTTGAGCCTTGAGCTGAGAAACAGCGCCCAGGCCCAGAGTTCAGGCGCCACGACCAACAAAAACAACAACAACAACAAACTGATGTAAGCTTGGCTATGATGGCTCATGCCTGTAATCCTAGCTACTCAGGAGGCTGAGATCTGAGGATTAAGGTTCAAAGCCAGCCTGGACAGGGAAGTCTATGAGACTTTTACCTTTAATTAGCCACCAGAAAACTGGAAGTGGCACTGTGGATTCAAGTGGTAGAGCACTAGCCTTGAGCAAAAGAGTTCAGGACAGTGTGCCCAGGCCCCAAGTTCAAATCCCATGACCAGCAAAAAACAAACCAGCTGCAGGGCCTGGCAGCTTTACCTCAGTCTCTACAACTTGTCCTTAGCTTCTCCTTTGAAAGATTCTTTGTTTTTTATGCCTTTCTCCTTACTTTTGTCTCTTTTTTTGCATGAACCTGCTTCTCCTGTAATCCCTGGCTTTTGTATAAAAATCCTTGCATTTTATACAAATCAGTCAGACAAGCACTTCTTCCTCTGGTGGCTAGGACAACCATAAATATTATAAATGTTTAATTCTTTGGATCTTGAGGTGACTTTTTGCATTATTAAAGTCTCAGAAACAGTGTTTTTTTGTTTTTTTGTTTATTTGTTTGGTTTTTGGTGAGTGAGGAGAGCATCAAACTTGGTGTTTTAGTTTATTTGCCTTCTCTGGAGACATTCCATCCAGTTGATAATGATAGCAAGCCAATCTGCTGACTGAGGTTTTACTGTCTGTAATCAAGTGTAGAACAAAGCTGTGCCTTTACAGGGCAGCTCAGAGTTGTCTTTAACAATTGCTAGTGTAAAGCATTTTGTCTGAGACGCTCATTTCTGTTGGTTTAAAAATGACAAGGATGCTAACGTAGTTAGTTCTGATGACATTTGTACTGCAGACAGTGTTGATATGTTACACTCAGTCCTTTTGAGGAGGACCTTGGGAAAAACACTTGGTTTTGATTTGGCAGTTAGGAGTCACTCTGTCTCTGCTGAACAGTTGGTTTGTGTTACTGTCTCAGAGACGGCACATCTTCTACTGACCATGTCTTCCACTCTTTGATGGCATGTGAATGTGGTAACAACACTAAGTGAATGTGTCTTGTCCTTACTAATGGCCTTTATTGAGTTTGTGTATTTCTTTTTTTTGGGGGGGTCTGGTCGTGGGGCCTGAACTCTGGGCCTGGGTGCTGTCCCTCAGCCCTTCAGCTCAAGGCTAGTGCTCTACCACTTGAGCCACAGCGCCACTTCCAGCTTTTTTCTTTTTGCTTATGTGGTGCTGAGGAATCGAACCCAGGGCCTCAGGCATGCAAGGCAAGCACGCTACCACTGAGCCACCTTCCCAGCCCAATGTTTGTGTATTTCTTTTTCTTTATTTCTCTAATTTCTGCCCGACTTCATTTAAGATACCCTTGGAAAATACCTTAACACAATAATTTTCTTACCTCTCAGATTTTTGACTTACATGTACTTTTGCAATTGTCTGGATGATTCCATTTACCTTTTGAGAGGCAAATAGTTAATTTCTAAGAAGTGCTCTAAATAACTGCCTTACTAAGTAATGGTTTAATTGATTGGATTTTCACACTTATTTTGAAACATGTCAATAATTTAGATAACGTTTAAGGCTTTTTTTCTTACAAATGTAGAGGTCTTTATTAAAATGGGTTCTCTCCTATAGATATCTATTATAGCTGATCTATGGACTTATCTGTGATAATTATTCCATTTCTAACTCTGGAAAATTAGTGACAAGCTTATATTGTTAATGGAAATAACTTTCTAGAATGTTCTGAGAAGCAAATTATATTACATACAACATTTCTGTATTTAAATTGTCAGACATGGCTTTAGCCAACCTATTTTTTAAAACCAGATTATATATATATATATATATATATATATATTTTTTTATTTGAAACTTGTTAGCTATGTCTACCTGGCATAGTGCTTGCTCTATTTCATCTTTATCATCAGTCATCATTATTATTACAATTAATGTCAATTTCATAAGTAAAAGATGGCTAAATATATTTTAGGGGATACCTCATATAATGTTCACAACTGCCCCTAGAAAGACCTATTATTCTTGGAAATGGGAAAAATAAGGCAGAGAGAAACATTAAAACCCTGTTCAAGTTCCTATGAATAATAAGTAGAGAACCTCTAGGTTCTGAACCATTATTGTATGTCTGCATTGCAGCCTAATAAACTAATGTTTTATATCCAAAGTATTTTATGAAAAGGGGTTGTTAAAAAGTGCCCTGTTGTTATTTCATAGAACAATGTATAATTTACCACATTGCTGTATCCAGTTAACTCAATATGGAAGGCTATAGGTTGAGAACACATTTATTTGATTTTTCTAAGCAGAAAACGCTGCTTCCTAAAAGACGTTTCCCCAAATGAACAATGCTGTGCTGATGTTTTATGGATGAACCACAGGAAATAATGGTATTGTCTGTCTTCTAATTGTTCTGGAGATTTGTGGTCAGAAGGCCAGACCAGGTTAGACTGAATGATGGACTACTCCTCCAATATTAATGGTTGGATTAGTGCATATATTTCAAAAGACATTCCTTAAGGCAGATGCTGGTGGATCATGACTGCAGTCCCAGCTACTGAAGAGACTGAAATCTGAGGATTGTGGTTCAAAGCCAGCCTAGGCAGACAAATCTGAGAGTCTTACCTAACTAGCAAAAAGTAGCTAGGAGGGTTGGGGAGGTGGCTCAGTGGTAGAGCGCTTGCCTTGAATGCATGATGCCCTGGGTTTGATTCCTCAGCACCACATAAGCAAAAAGAAAAAAAGCCGGAAGTGGCGCTGTGGCTCAAGTGGTAGAGCACTAGCCTTGAGCTGAAGAGCTGAGGGACAGCTCCCAGGCCCAGAGTTCAGGCCCCACGACCGGACCCCCCCCCCCAAAAAAAAAAGTAGCTAGGAAAAATCCAGAAGCAGAGATGTGGCTCAAGCAGTTGAACCCTAGCCTTGGATTTGTGTGTGGTAGGGTAGTGGGGAACTTAAACTCAGAGCTTTACACTCTCTCTTAGCCTTTTTACTCAAGGGTAATGCTCTACCACTTTAGCTATGCCTCCAGTTCCATTAAAGAATTCTTGACAAGTAAGCAACTGTGTACTCTGTGTGTTACTTAGCAAGTGCTCAGCAACTGCTTGTTGAACTAAAAGGCTGAGAACAAAGTAGTTCCAATGTTACTTGATCATGGACAGTTAGCATTGTGGGACCTGTTCCTCAACTGTGAAATGAAGATTTGGAATCAATTCCTTTCAGCTTCAAACATTTGGTCAAATAAAGAAAAAGCATGTGATTTATGTCATGCTTTCTCTCCGGCTTCTAGCTTGAACAGATGGATTTGGAAGTCCGAGAAATACCACCCCAAAGTCGAGGAATGTACAGTAACAGAATGAGAAGCTATAAGCAAGAAATGGGAAAACTGGAAGCAGATTTTGTGAGTAAAATTCCATCCTTGTCATACTTACTGATTTCTAAACTGCATTTTCATTTGTATTTTTTATTGTTTTCACCTTGTGCCCTAATTCAGGAGGCCCTGCAAAGACCAAGCTACAGCTTTCATTATGAATCATAGATCACATAGTTTCTAGAAATAGGGAATTTAAAGTATGTTGGATTCATGATTCATAACTAGATCCACAGCCTGTGGCCTCTTGAGTCTGCATAGCATTTATTGGTATCTAGTTGCTGGCTTTCCAGAGCGGTATCCTTTAAGATGGGCTTAAGGGGTGCTAAACCTCCTGAGAGCAAGCATATCTCTGTTTTTGGATGTATGGTTCTACATATATTTTCCCCTCCACTATGATGAACTCCCTGTATACATTGTATTTTATTTATTTATTTTTGGGTCTGGTCATGGCCCCTGAACTCTGGGCCTGGGCACTGCCCCTCAGCTCTTCAGCTCAAGGCTAGTGGTCTACCACTTGAGCCACAGCGCCACTTCCGGTTATTTTCTTTTTGCTTATGTGGTGCTGAGGAATCGAACCCAGGGCCTCAGGCATGCAAGGCAAGCGCTCTACCACTGAGCCACCTTCCCAGCCCCCTCCCTGTATACATTTTAAAGGGATGTCTTATGCCCATCCCCCAAGTTGGAAAGAATTACTTTCAATAGTGATTTGTGTAAACAACCCTGTAATGTTGATTGCCCACCGGGCACCAGTGGCTCACGCCTGTAATCCTAGCCACTCAGGAGACTGAGATCTGAGGATCGCTGTTCAAAACCATCTTGGTTCAGTAAAATCCATGCGACTCTTATCTTCAGTTAACCACCGGAAAACTGGAAGTGGCTGTGTGGATTGAAGTGGTAGAGCACTAGCCTTGAGTGTAAAAGCTCAGGGACAGTGCCCAGGCCATGAATTCAAGCCCCAACAACAACAAAAAATATTGATTAGCTTTCACTTCCTATATATCAGGTTTTTTTTTTAACTCTTCTCTGTTTGTAGCAAATCTAAGAATGTAAATTTAAAGTTATATTGTTAAAATGGTCAGGAATTAGAGACAGCTCAGCAAAAATTCTACATTTAGTTAAATATCCAAAAGAATGGATAGCCAGGGCTTGAAGAGATTTTCTGTATCCCTGTTCTCCTAGCAACATTTTTACAGTAGTAAAAAGATGAAAGCAACCTATGTATCAGGGATGGATGGTAAACAAAATCTCCAGTGAAATATGTCCAGGAAATAGTGATACGGGATGAATCTTGAGCTAGGTGAAAGTTAGTCTCAAAAGAAAAAAACTTATTATCTAATTTAACTTAGCATGAGATCTTTAGGGGTAGTCATACTCACAGAGACAAAAAGTAGACTGGTGATTTAAGAGGGAGAAAAATGTTGTTTAATGTATACAGACTTTGAATCTTGCAAGATGAAGAGTTCTGCTGAGCAACTACAATAGTGTGCTACCATTGCAACATCCTATAGTCCTTGGGTAGCTTAAGCAACAGAAATTTGTTTTCTCACCATTCTGGAGGTAGGACATCTGAGGTTAAGGTGTTGGCAAAGTCAACATCTCTGTAGTTTCTCTGGTTTACAGGTGGCTTCTCCCTTTTACTCATGCAGTCTTCAGCACATGTTTGTGTCTTTGTTTTCTGTTCTTGCAAGGACACACACTAATAATCTCTTGACTTTGTCTCCAAATACAGTCACTTTCTCAGTACTGAAGATTAGTACTTCGGCATGTAAACTTGAGAGTGATATAACTCAGCCCAGAGCATTGAGTTTAGTTTTAATGTTTCTACCTTTCCCCCCCAGAAGTTGTTACTCCTTTGCTTATTATAAAACTTCATCTAATGTTCAGTCATCTAATTTGTTTCCCATATAATTTGATACTGGCTAGAGTCCTTTATTTTAGGTATGTTTCTAAAATGAAGAAAAATGGGGCAATAACTATTAAAATTTATTCTATGAGCTATCTTTAAATATTTATGTATTTATGTATTTGCTACCTCATCTTTCTTCTACTGTGTCAAGAAACATCTTTCACTATCACTGCACTTTCATTTTCTTTAGAGGCAAATTTTTATTACTGATATACTTACTAGCATGTATTAGTTGTACAGAGTTCAAAGGATTATTGTAATATTTCCATACATGCATGCATCCTGCATTGATCATGTCCATCTGCCTTTCCTCTACCCATAAAACCCCTCCCCAAGTCTCTTAGCATCCATTCCATTCCTAAGTCTTTCTTAATTTCTTTCTTTTTTCCCCTTTGTTCCTTGTCTTTTTTTTTTTTTTTTGGTCCGGTCGTGGGGCCTGAACTCTGGGCCTGGGCGATGTCCCTCAGCTCTGCAGCTCAAGGCTAGCACTCTACCACTTGAGCCACAGCCCCTCCCGGCTTTTTTCTTATGTGGTGCTGAGGAATCGAACCCAGGGCCTCATGCATGCAAGGCAAGCGCTCTACCACTGAACCACCTTCCCAGCCTCTGTTCCTTGGCTAAGTGGCCACTATACCAAGCTGACCTTCAATAAGGTTGAGTTGACCTTCAATTAGGTTGAATTGACCTTCAATAAGGTTGAATTGCTGGTTTCTGTAAATGGATGAGAAAGGTGGCATTTGTGTTTCTGCAGCACGACCACTTAACATGCACAGTGATCAGTAGTCTATAATGGACTTTAACCTGGGTCATTTCATTTCTTGGTATGAAGAGTGGACAGAACAGATGTGAATTCTTCTCCCCGTTCACACATGATAGAACCTGTTCTATCAGATTAAGTAGAGATTTTTATTAATGCACATTAGTTGTCCAAAATGAGGGCTGTATTTATGACATTTTTATACATGCATGTAGTGATCATACTCACTCTATTACTGTCTCATCCCCTTCCCCTTCTTTCCACATCTCTAGTAGTGCCCTCTTCACTTTTGTGTCCTCTCCCAGCCCCAACATTTTACAAAAGAAAGAAAATGTGAAGTATTTTGTCTTTGTGGGCCTCTCCAGTTCCATCCATTTCTCTTTAGACAACCTCATTTTATTTTTTATGGCTGAGTATGTGTATATATAATATATATATATATATATATATATATATATATATATACTGAGTATATAATATAGTATATAGGATACTGAGTCTATATATACTGGGTCTATATATTTATATATATATATATTTATATATATATATATATATATACTGACCATATATATATAGATATATATACCAGCCATATATATATATATATATATATTCAGCATATACTCAGTATATATATACTGAGTATACTATATGATTACACATTGTATATGTAACACAATATACACTATGTTTTCTTTATCTTCTCATCTGTTTACAGGTACCTAGGTCAATTCCACAGTTTGTCTATTGTGAATAATGGCAAAATAAACATGAACATACAGATTATCTCTATTATAAACTGACATTGATTTATGAGGTGTATGCCTAAAGTGCTATCGCTGAATCACATGGTAGTTTTAATTGTGTTGTCCATTATTGTTGGCAGTGCTGTGGTTGGAACTCACAGCTTTGAGCTTGCTAGGTATGCACTATACCATCTGGGCCATGTCTTAGCCCCCATTTTTGGAAAAATCCCTGTACTGATCTCCATAGTGGCTGCATTAACTTACAATTCTCAGGAGTGACTAAGGGTTTCTTTGTCCCTGCGCCATCACCAACATTTTCTGCAGGCTTCAGAGAATGTTGAGCAGTGATCTTTTCTGGGTCTTCTTTAGAGTGTTGTTAAGATATGTCTTGAGTAACCTTACTTCTAAGATGTGGTGTTTTGAGGCTCCAGTTGAATGGTTTGGAGTGCTCAGTGGTTACTCTTCTTTCTGTTTGGTTTTCATTCTGTCCGAGACACTGGGCAGTCTCCAGAACCCCAGCTTCCCCACTCACAGGATCTTTCCTTCTGCATATTCATTTTCATCCAGACTTAAGGGAGACCCCATTACAGAAATTTGGAGTTCCTCTTTGGTTCCAGTCTTACCACTTCATTGCTGAATCGCACCTGTGCCATCAGTACCAAACTCCAGTTGCTGCCTTGTACATTTAGTGGTCTGCCCTCTGTATGGGCTCTTCTATGTGCTGCAATTCCCAAAGGGTCTCCAGGCTGGTGTGATGGCTGTGTGAGTTTGTTTCATGTTTCTCTTCTCCAAGAGACTGAAATCCTATAATACCCATTGTCTTAAGTTTTAAACAATTGCTGTATACATTGTGCCCATTTTTTCTGTCTATTGTTTAGAGCTGGAGGGTTAGTTTAGGACTGACAGTTCCGTTCCTTCATGGATAATTTTGTCCATGAAAAAAATAATAGTTGTGTTTATAATGATTTATCATAGAACACAAAATTTGTAACTGACTGGGGACTCATGCAAGAGGTTTTTAAAACTTAGACTGTAGTTTTTTTTTATATTTTGGGGAGGTTAAGGGAATCTAATGGTCACATTTGTGTTTAATTTCTTCTGGGAACTACTGTGGCTCCTGTTGAATCTCTTCACTTGCTCAGTATTGTTCAGTTTTATCTTCAAGTCGTCTTGGAGTAAGTCCGGAAGGATTCATCTGTTAACCCTATATTTCAGATGAGGAGGTGGAGGACAGGGAGACCACATGACTTCCCATAAAGCCATGTGGTTATTAGAGGTAGAACTAAAATGAGATTACCTCAGCACTCATTCTAGTGTTCTTTCCAGTCTTTTGAGTCCCTCGCCCCACTTCAGGTTTGTATGAAGAGTTACTGAATAACATCTTTTTATATAGGAAAAAACCTTCTTAGCAAATAAGAATTCAGGCAAGCATTGATGGCTCATGCCTGGAATCCTAGCTACTTAGGAGGCTGTGATTTGAGGATAGCAGTTCAAAGCCAGCCTAGGCAGGAAAGCCTGTGACACTCCTGTCTCTTGTTAACCATCAAAACCCAGAGGTGGAGCTGTAGCTCAAGTGGTAAAGTACTACCCTTGAGCAAATAAAGCTCAGGGACAG